CTGATTGTATAAGGTTTTGGAAGAGTAAGGAATAATCGTATTTAGGGCAGTTTGAAAATATGTGGTCCAAACCTCCAACTTGGCCACATTCGCATAAATCACTATTAACGATGTTCAATTTCGCAAGTTGTGCAGGAGTACAAACATGACCCAACCGCATACGAATCAAAACAGATGTTGTCAATCTATTAAATTTAAGTGACGAAAACCATGGTTTTACAGGAATAGAAGGTTGAATGTAAGCATAAGATTTACCTTTTAATTTACTGCTTTCAGAACACATCACACCCCAATCATGTCTAAGGAAATGTGTAGGAAGGGTTGCCAAATCGTGATTATAATTTTTATAGTACGCCGTGTCCCCGTCAACAGCAGCATCATTTGCGAGCTGATCAGCACGATCATTTCCATGAATACCGGTTTTTTAAAGTCTCCCAGCTTTTCAAGTTCGACGTTCTTATAAATAATTTAGCGGTCCCGACGAGAAGCCTCTTTGAGTAGATACATTTTTCAACATTACTCCACAGCTAGAGTGACGATATTTCTTCAAATTCTTCGATCCGTGAGTCGATAGCATAATCGTCATCACCACTAAAAGGTGTCATTGATTTTTCTAAGTCGTTAATTGAAATTCTTGGTACAGGTACCTCTTCTTCTCCTACTTCGTTGTTTTTCTTAGGTGGCATCTTTATAAATGGTATCATGTTTCGTAAAAATAATTCTTCAAAGTCTTCAAAAAAAAAATATTCAAAATAATATTTAATTTTTACTCTACATCCCGCAGCATTCGATCGTGCAAAATTGCTTGAAACACGTTTCGTTCAACTACGTCCCGAAGCCTTTTAATGCATATAGTCCTAGTAAATGCAAATCTTTTCGTCTTAATATTCTTTCACAGCTTGCAATTGGATGTTTTTTTGCTATCCCGGACGAGCCCCCAAGATTTTGTGGGATTGCTGATGACAAATAAACCGAGCTTTTTTCTTCTTCTTCTTTTAAATGTTATGGCCCCATCGAAATAATCAATGATTTTGCCAATGTCAAGTAAAAATAACTATGTACGGTAGTTTAGTATTATTATAAAAATTATACAAAAAAAATGGCGATTTCGCCAATGTCCTGTGAGTTTTAAAGTAAAGATAACATCTTTCTTTAATTTGTACGGCAAGCAATTAACACAAATCTGACAACTTTTGACACACTTCTTATTTCTTCTTATTAATACTTCTCAGCAAAAAGGTAGGAACACAAATAGTTTACATTTAAATAAGAAAAATACAACTAATCCCACATATATATTTTTAATAATAATATCGTTTATTGCTAAACATATTGTTACATTTAGGTCTTATAGACAGTTGGTAAACTAACAAACATGTACCCTGTAAGGGCGCAGCAATGTCAATTTTAAGATATACAATTTGATTACCATTAATTATAATATTATTACAATGAAAATAAATAAATCTAAGCTAATAATATATATTCTGCAAGTCGAACGATTTAATTTTAAAATGAATGTCAAATTTAAATTTAAAGTATTGTAAAAATATAACAATTAATTATTAATAATTAATCATTATTAATAATTAATGTTCATGCGTGATCAGCCATCCATCCATCCAGCCATCAATTAATGTTCGTCGCTATTCATTGTATTTTAATTTTTTATTGAATTGACATTCAATTATTTTTTGTGAAATTATTCCACTAGTTTGTTATAATTATTAATACAAATATCGAACACTCAGGAAAAGTTCCTTCGATCCGGCCGGATTCAAACCGACGTCGTCAAGCTTACCGTGCCACCAACTAAGCCACGGAACAAACCAGCGGACCTCACGAATTTTTCTATATGCTTATGGTTTGCGTCGTATCTGTGTATTTGTTTTTTTTAACGCCTTTTTAGTCGTAGCACCTTTCGTAGCATCTATGAGAAATCTATGAAAGTTTTATCACTCAATTAGATATGTCGCTATTCACTGTATTTTAAACTTTTATTGAATTTATATTCAATTATTCTTTGTGTAATTACTCCACTAGTTTGTTATAATTATTAATACAAAGATCGAACACTCAGAAAAAATTCCTTCGATCAGGCCGGATTCGAACCGACGTCTCCTAGCTTCCTGTGGCAGACGCTATAACAACTAAGCCACGGAACGAACCATTGTTATTGTTTTGTTTTACTTCGTAAAAATATCCTTTTATCTTTAAAAAAATGGTAAATTGTTATACAGAAAATAATTAAAATCAACTATAAGAAATTCTTAATAATAAGTATTTAAGTAGTATGTGGCTGAATTGCAATTAAAATTATATTTTAGATAACATTTTAAGCGAATGTTTTGATTTTAAACTTAAATAACCTCCTTGCTTGAACTTGAACCTGACTTATATGAAGAAGAAAGAAGGCCCGGGGATTTTGTTTGGAGCATTATAGTCAAGTTAGTCACCATGCAATCATATTATTTACGAGCAACTGTGATGAAAAAGTCATTATAAGTCTTTGTTCACCCTTTAGTAACTTTTACATTCTCCCAGTCCATATTGTATAAACTATTCTATTGTGGTTTCCATTATAATTATATTTCGCTTTGTTCTTTTCTAAATTTATTTGTATACCTCTATTGTGCGTGACCAGTAAGCCGTAATTAAGCTCCCTCGGTTTTGCCTGCATTCAAAGAAGCCTTAAATTCAAAATCATTAAGCCTAATATTATTCTATAGTAAATATCCTTGAGTTTCTTGTATTATTGCAAAATGAATTTTTTACTTACAAAAGTTTATGCTAATTTCTACGGTCTCTACGTACGTGTACTTAAGGGTTTGGCTATAAGTTTTCGTCGTCGTTTTAAATATGTACAAGAATTTGGAAGGGGATGCTTACAGTTAAGTATTGTACTTGGAAACAAAGTTAAAATGAAGCACCTTATTTCCATGGAGTACATTTTATTATACGCCAGGTTTTGGTAAGATGATGTGGCACTACTAACAATAGTCTTAAGTTTAAATTAGAATTGAAGAAACACAAGAAGTCGAGAACTGGAATAATTTATTGTTTGAATAATCAAACAATAAATTATTCCAGTTTTCCATACTTTTATAATTACCAAGACCACAAAACTGCGCTTGCAAAATTCTAGGTCGTGTGTAGCCCAGTTTCGATTCCAGATAGGATCAATGTGGAAAATGATGTTCTCTAAATTTATTCTGGCATTGTTGTTCATTTTAATTACGTTACCCTGTTATTGTATAGAGAATTCTTTAGTTTAAGAGCAGGTTGGTGTTTGTCTTGCTTATTGTTATTATTATAAAGACTAAAATAGCTTGCCTACATTTCAATGCGACGACCTCGAATACGCGACCTCAGTGGCCTAACGGTTTGCACTGTGGGCGTTGGATATGAAGTCCCGGGTTCGATTCCCGGTTGGATCAATTTGAGAAAAATGAACTTTTCTAGATTGGGTCTAGTGTGGGTATTCTGGGAAGTGCCCCAGAGGGAATTCCATTGCTCTGGTACTGATAATACAGGGAATTCCCTAGTTTGAGATCATGCAATTGGTGTGATTGTTTGGCTCATTATTACATTAATGCGACTAGACCTTGACTTTGACGCTGTGTTTTCTTTAATAAATTGTTCAAAAATAACGAGTTCTTAGGCCTTATTCAAAGTGGCGGCAGGCACGGGTGTGGACGGGTGCATGTAAATCATATGTACCTAGATGCTCCTTGCGTTCATA